CGTGGAATACCTGGACAAAAAGGGTGAGAGCGTGGTTTTTAGCCACGGAAGTTTGGGACATTTCCCAAAGGGAACCAGTGCAACTGGTGGACAGAGATGACAGAGTTGCAGGAAAGTCGCAATCTGCTTCTCTGGAGGAGAAAATGCAGAGGGAGAAAGCTATGAGAGCTGAGGTCTGCATGTTGAGAGCAGGTGTTCATGCTAATTTGCAACAGCACCTGGAAAGCGTTGAATCTGCGTGTGAGGCTTGGCGTGTGCTGAAACGTCTGTGTGAAGGCTCAGCAGGAGGCCAAGGGCAGATTGAAGCTGGAAGCCTAGAGATGGCTGGAGCCCCTGTTCCTGATGATTTAGCCTCAAGGAGTGCTAGTGAGCAAGTCGGGGGGGCGGAAAGTTCCAAAGGCAAGTTTGAAAAGTTTTCCACTGAACCTGCTGGAATGAAGAGCAGCTTCAAAGGGGGCGAGGCTGGTGGGAGGCGCCGTTCCAGAAGAAGGAGGGCCAGGCCAGCTGGCAAGAGCCCCAGGCAGTGTTTTTCCACTGGAGTTCGTCTTTGCTACGTGTGTAAAGCTCCGGGACATCTGCGGCGAGATTGCCCCCACCGGAGCAGAGAGGCAAGACAGGATGTTGTCAAGGTCAAACTGCTGAATTCTCATGGGAACCAGTCGGGTTTCCATGGCAGCCAGTCTGGAAAAACAACCAGGCGTGAGACTGAGGCTGGTGGACGTGCCAGGTGCCAGGAAGAGACTTATCAGATCACGGCTAGTCTGGCGTTAGCTGAGGACAGCCGTGGGACAAGGACAGAGGAGCTGAGTTTCGTTATCGACTCTGCTGCTAATTGCAATTTGATTCCAGAGACACCTGCTGTCGAAATGCGGAACTGCAGGGCTGTTTTAACTGGGATGACGGTTATGTTCACAGACAAAACACAAAAACCAGTCTGTGGTGTGGCTAACGTGTTTTTCTCTTTCAGAGGAGGGAGACAACTGGTCAACGTGCAGAGGGAGAACAATGTCTTTGTTCTGGAGTCAGCTCTGGAGGGTTGTGGGAATGCTGGAAAAGCACAGGCGCAGTGTGCTAAGGTTCCCAGTCATGTGCAAAAGTTGCACAGGTGCACAAAAGGGTGTAAAATCACACAATGTGGGAGGTCCCAAGGGTGCAAGGCATGCAAAGGTGCAAAGGTGCTTGGTTTTCCCGGGTTTGGGAGGGTAACCAAACAGCCCTTTGAGCTGGTTCACACAGATCTGTCAGGACCCAAGAGGTCTGAGAGTCTGGGTGGGGCCAGGTATGTGCTGTCGCTGACAGGTGACCACAGCCAGGTTGGCTGGTGTTTCTCTCTCAAATCACAGGGGGAGGTGGCGCAACTGATCCAGGATTGGGTTGCGGAGGTGGAACTAAGGTTCTCCACCAGGGTGCAAGGGTTCAAGAGCGACCGAGGGTCACAGTTTACTGGGTCTGCTCTGGAGAAGTTTTTCAAGGAAAAGGAAGTACGTCACCAGGTGACGGGTGCAAAGTCTCCTCAAAGGGAGGAGAGGGAGGCAGAGACTGATCCCGGTGATGGGGACCAGGTCCAGAATCAGGGTTCAGATCCCGGTGATGGGGACCAGGTCCAGGGTCAGGGGTCAGGGCAGGTTTGGGCATCTCCAAGGGTTGTGAAAGGAATGTCCAGGTGTGAGGCTTCATCTCCGGTAAACGTGATGGAGAAAGCTCACGGACGGGTTGTCAAGTCAGAGGGGGAAAGTCTGACGGAGAAGACACAACTGCTGGCCCTAATGGGTCAGTAGGGTTTCAGGTCACAGGTGCGTGGAAAAGTGTCGCACAGTGTGATTCTGGGAGTGTTGAAGGGGTTCAACAGGTGCCTGGGAAAGATGCTGGGAAGGAGCACAAGGCAAAGGGAAAGGTGTTGAACTCAAAAAGGTCTTGTCAGGAGGTGCGGCAAGAGGGGTGTGGGAGTTGGAACTTAACAGGTTAAGTTCTTCCCATGATGCCACACCATTCTGACGTCAGTTTTCGAAGCTGGGAGGAGTTTGGGAGGAGTTAGTCAGTCCCACTCTGTGTTCCGTGGGGAAAAGACGCAGGTCTGGCATGGCTGCAAATAGTCCTGGAAATTCCTGAGAAATGTTGGAATAAAAGCTGTAAATAGACAAACTGGACTCTGTGTGTTTGTCTGGAAGCCAAGCCACGTGACAGTTTACACCGCTGTGCAAAACTCTGCTATGGCGTGACGGAGAGCTCGGAGCAGAGCATGCGGCAGGAGAAGTGTGCCGGGCAGTGAAGAGCTAATTGAGGGCCATAAATCAATTAGCGGGTGTCACGCCTGATAACAAATGTCACAAATGTCACTTTATTCTCCAGATGTCAATCAAGTCCATATTGTCAGTTAGTTCAAAAAAGGTTTTTGGTAGCCTGCCCTCTTTTGTTATGCTTTGACTTTGCGCTTTATCCATATTCGTGGATACCACCCCATTCATGTCACCCATCATAATGATGTTTTTGTAGTCCATATAGTCCAGCAATGTCTCATGCAACTTCTTGTAAAATTCCAACTTCCCCTCATTTGGTGCATAAATTCCCAAAATCAAAAAATTTTCTCCTTGTATTTGAATTTCAATTGCCAGGATTCTTCCTTGTTCATCTTTGAAGAGAAATTTTGGTGATAGGCTTTCTTTTGCATAAATAACAACTCCTCTCTTCTTGACTCTATCTGATGAGATAAATTCTTGATCCAGTCTCTTATTAATTAAAACTTTCCTATGAAGCCTAATCACGTGCGTTTCTTGTAGACAAATTAAATCTAATTGCTCCTTTTTTAATAAGTGAAATATCTTCTTCCTTTTTTCTGGGGAGTTAAAGCCATGAATATTGCAGCTTAATAGTTGCAGAGACATGTTGGAGTAGTTCTATTCTCCCTTTGGCGGTGGTATCACTTTCTCAGGCTCAACAGAACCCAAAGGTGTAGGTACAGAACCTAATGGTCCAAGTTCTAAGGCTCTTGCTTCACCTTCAATCCCTTTCTGAAGGTCTTCTCTGTAGTTACTCAAAAAATTTTCCTTGTCTTCAGCTGTTTTGATTTTAACTTTCTTCCCCCTAAACGTAAAGGATAGTCCCTGGGGGAACTCCCATCTAAAAATGATTCCGTTACTTCTCAGTAGTTTCACCAAGTCTCCGTAGTTAGATCTAAGTTCCAATAAGTATTTCGGGATGTCCTTGTAGATTTCCACTTTAAGATCCTGAATTTCAAGGGTCTTTTGAAAATGTGCACTCAATATCTTATCTCTTTCTGCCTTATTCCTGAGGGAGATCAGGCAGTCTCTGGACTTAGCCTTCGTCCCTCCCTTTCCAAGGCTGAATGCACTTACAATTTTAAAATCTTTATCTTCTTCCAAAAGCCAAAATTTTGCAAATTCTTTTGTCAAAAATTCGATTAAATCTCCCTTTTCAAGTTCTGGAACTGACCTCAATCTCAAGTTATTTTCCTTACTTTTTAACTCTACCATAGACAGATATGCCTGGTGTTCACCAATCTGTTTATGCATGGGTTTTATTTCCTCTTGCACGGCCTCTGCTTTCTGTTTAGCCTCCTCAGCTATTTTACGGTTCTCTATGGTAGATTCCAGGAGTTTCCTGATAGCTTGAGCATTTAAACTCACTTGTTGAGTCAGGTTGTTAACACTAGCCGTGTTTTGATCAATCTTAGATGATTGTTCAGTCACTTGCTTACTCAGGCCATCCAATTTTGCAAAGATTTTATCTAACACTGAAGTAAAGTCCCCTCCTGTGGCCATTCCTTCCAGCCTGGCTTGCTCTGGCTCTTCCTCTTGTGCCACAGAGACAATAGGAACAGATGATCTTCGCAGCTGTGAAGTTATAGTAGTTTGTTGTGTTTTGGCTTTGCCTGATCTTGTTTTCCCACTCATCCCACTTCTGTCTATGCGTCAAGGTCAGTCTTGCGGTTTGTAATTCCCATGGGAATCCACAAGTCCAAAGATGGAAAAAAACCCCAGTGATTGCAGATTTTCAATAGTCCTCTAGAGGGAGATTAAGTATATCTTGGAGGAAAAAAGTTGCAATCTTTCCAAAAATCCCTTAAACATTAATAACAATCCTAAAGTACTTACAGTGTCTCTAAAAAGTGCAAGTTCAATGTAGCAATTCAATGTAACCGTCCAGTGTAGCAGCTCAATGCAACAATTCCCACAGCCTAGCAGTTCCAATAGTCTGGCACCCCGATTGCCGGGATTTCTCAGTGCTTTTTGTAAATCCACAAAAGAAGAGGTAAAAAGGAAATATCCACCAATAAAAAAGTAAAATCCACAAGTAACAAGGTGCAATTCAAATTTTCTTCCACACCTCAATTTAGTTGATGCTCGGATTAGTTCCTTCTAAAGTCGCGATTTCAAAGGCATTAGAGAGTTTAACATCCTTGCTTTAAATCTTTAAACAGAGCTGGGAGACGGACTTCCTGGTTGCGTTTCCCGCTTCAGTGCCAAATTTTCAGTCAATTTAGTCCCAAATTCAGTAAACTTCACCTACTCACGGGAAGTTGTTTTTAAGCCGAATAGTCCCAGGAAAAGAGGTCAGCGCTCACCGACAGCAGCTTTGCGGCTTCACTCCACAGAAAGAGTGATCGACTCACAGCACCGCACCAGCCCTTTCACGCTCCGGAGCCCCTTATGAGGTCCCTTCAACGTTTCGAGGGGCGCTGATGGTGCCCGCCAAGTCCCACGGCCACAGGCTATCGCTGCCTGTGGGTTTCCAACCTGGGTCTCTGCTTCCTTTTCTGCGGAGCTTCCCCTTCACAGATAGAAGGAGACCGCCATTGCCGTTCGTACCGCCCCCGGAAGTCTTCGAGGCAGTGAAGGTTTAGGACCAAAGTTTTCCTTCTCAATGGGCTCACTTCCCCAGTTGACGATCCCATCTGCCCTTCACTTTCCTCTACAGCATGGGCAGAATCTGCCTTTTTGACTGTGGGATTCACTGTTTTTCCCCTCCTCTCCATCCACCAGGGTGTGCCTTCACCTGCAGCAGAATTCCTGAACCCACCAAGGATTTGAGACCCATCAGGTATCCTCACCTGGTCTAGCCGGCCGGTTGAAGTCGTTCCTGAGATTGCGGCCCATTTTGCATGCTGACAGCTTCTGGAAGCCACAGGTGAGAGCTGAGTGCAGGGTGGGGACCAATGGTGGAAATATTACCCCTACCAAAGGTACTACCGCTCCCCTAACACCCCAAGACATCCTACAATTATGATATTTAAGACAGATCAGGAATAAATTCATATATCAAGAAATAACACAACTTCAGGTTGTTAATGAATCAATACCACATATTCAAGGATGAAGTTCCCGCTAAGTACAGTTATCCATTTGCCTTTAATATCCAGCTTTTTCAGTGTCAGATTAGGATAGTCTTGTGTCAGGAGACGGGCACAAGATGAGGCAGCACATCATTATAATAAGGAGCGATGGGGGTGGGTGTTTCCATCTGGGATTCCCATGTGCCACCTGCTTTCCTTCTGCTTCTCCTGCTCTCTCCATGCAATGTGAGGCATGTAGACTGAGGTCCATTTCCAAGAACAGGAGCTTCCCTGAGCACCCATTCAGCTGACGCCAAGCACCAAGCCTTGTCACTAGTTCTCTGACTGACCCAGACCACAGTCCCTGGAAAAGACGAAGACCTGAGTCTCACAAAATGGTTTATATGGACCTCCTGAGGCCAATGGGATTGTGCAGGTGATTCATAAAGATCTAGAGGTGGAAACTGGGGTGGATGGAGGATTATGATGCAGAGAATGGGAAATGTCCAAAGGAACGATGAACCAGAGAAAGAGACAGTCTTATCATAGACAAAGAGCAGCTGCCTTTCCTTTGAGGAAACAATTGATTTGAAAAGGCTGTATTCCAAGTTCATGCTGCTATATTAACGATGACTAAGGATTATGAAAGGTTGCTTATGCATTACTAACATTTGGTGACATCGCATCTTCGTTTCCTCAAAACTGGGAACATGGGTAGGAGGCAGGGGAATGTAGGAGATGTTGAAATAGGAGAAGGTGCTAATGGCGCTTGCTGTGTTCTCTTCCCCTTTCTTCTCTTCCTTGAAACCCAAACAGGATTTCCTTTCCTCCCACTTTGAAGAAGGTGATGGAGAAGACATTCAGAATTCTAAGGGATGGTACACTTTATTTCATTAGGTAGAGACATTAAAATGTGTGAGATGTGGAATATGCTTCACTGAATGAGCACACATAGCTCACATCAGCGATCTCAAGAAGGGGAGAAACCATTTAAAGGTATGGAGAGTGAGAAAAGTTTCACTGATAGTGAAAAACTTAGAACACATCAGTGGACTCACATGGGCAAGAAAGGATTCCAATTCTTGGATTGTGGAAAGAGCTTCAGTCAGAATGGACATTTAAGTTTACATCAGTGGACTCACACAGAGGAGAAGCCATTTAAATGTATGGAATATGGAAAAAACTTCAGTCAGAGAGGACAACTCAATATACATCAACAGACTCACACAGGGGGAAAACCATTTAAATGTATGGAGTGTGGAAAGAGCTTTAGTGATAATGGAACCCTTAGAACACATCAGCGGACTCACACAGGAGAGAAACCCTTTAAATGCATGGAGTGTGGAAAGAGCTTCAGTTTTAATGCAAACCTTAGAAAACCTCAGCGGACTCACACAGGAGAGAAACCATTTAAATGCATGGAGTGTGGAAAGAGCTTCAGTCAGAGTGGACACCTCAATATACATCAACGGACTCACACAGGGGAGAAACCATTTGAATGCATGGAATGCAGAAAGAGTTTCAGTCAGAATGGAGACCTTAAATTACACCAGCGGATTCACACAGGGGAGAAACCATTTAAATGCATGGAGTGTGGAAAGAGCTTCAGTCAGAGTGGACACCTCAATATACATCAACGGACTCACACAGGGGAGAAACCATTTGAATGCATGGAATGCAGAAAGAGCTTCAGTCAGAATGGAGAACTTAAATTACACCAGCGGATTCACACAGGGGAGAAACCATATAAATGTATGGAGTGTGGAAAGAGCTTCAGTACGAGTTGCCAACTCAATAGGCATCAACAGACTCACACAGGAGGAAAACCACTTAAATGTATGGAGTGTGGAAAGAGCTTTAGTGATAATGGAACCCTTAGAACACATCAGCGGACTCACACAGGAGAGAAACCCTTTAAATGCATGGAGTGTGGAAAGAGCTTCAGTCAGAGTGGACACCTCAATATACATCAACGGACTCACACAGGAGAGAAACCATTTGAATGCATGGAATGCGGAAAGAGCTTCAGTCAGAATGGATACCTTAGAACACATCAACGGACTCATACAGGGGAGAAACCATATAAATGTATGGAGTGTGGAAAGAGCTTCAGTTTAAATGGAAACCTTAGAATACATCAACGGACTCATACAGGGGAGAAACCATATAAATGTATGGAGTGTGGAAACAGCTTTATTGATAATGGAAGCCTTAGAACACATCAGCGGACTCACACAGGAGAGAAACCATTTAAATGCATGGAGTGTGGAAAGAGCTTCAGTCAGAGTGGACACCTCAATATACATCAACGGACTCACACAGGGGAGAAACCATTTGAATGCATGGAATGCAGAAAGAGCTTCAGTCAGAATGGAGACCTTAAATTACACCAGCGGATTCACACAGGGGAGAAACCATTTAAATGCATGGAGTGTGGAAAGAGCTTCAGTCAGAGTGGACACCTCAATATACATCAACGGACTCACACAGGGGAGAAACCATTTAAATGCATGGAGTGTGGAAAGAGCTTCAGTCAGAGCGGACACCTCAATATACATCAACGGACGCACACAGGGGAGAAACCATTTGAATGCATGGAATGCAGAAAGAGCTTCAGTCAGAATGGAGAACTTAAATTACACCAGCGGATTTACACAGGAGTAGAAACCATATAAATGTATGGAGTGTGGAAAGAGCTTCAGTACGAGTTGCCAACTCAATAGGCATCAACAGACTCACACAGGAGGAAAACCACTTAAATGTATGGAGTGTGGAAAGAGCTTTAGTGATAATGGAACCCTTAGAACACATCAGCGGACTCACACAGGAGAGAAACCCTTTAAATGCATGGAGTGTGGAAAGAGCTTCAGTCAGAGTGGACACCTCAATATACATCAACGGACTCACACAGGAGAGAAACCATTTGAATGCATGGAATGCGGAAAGAGCTTCAGTCAGAATGGATACCTTAGAACACATCAACGGACTCATACAGGGGAGAAACCATATAAATGTATGGAGTGTGGAAACAGCATTAGTGATAATGGAAGGGCCTAGAACACATCAACGGACTCACACAGGGGAGAGAAACCATTTGAATGCATGGAATGCAGAAAGAGCTTCAGTCAGAATGGAGACCTTAAATTACACCAGCGGATTCACACAGGAGAAGAAACCATTTAAATGCATGGAGTGTGGGAAAGAGCTTCAGTCAGAGTGGAAACCTCAATATACATCAACGGACTCACACAGGGGAGAAACCATATAAATGTATGGAGTGTGGAAGGAGCTTTAGTCATAATGGATACCTTAGAACACATCAATGGACTCATACAGGGGAGAACCTTATAAATGTATGGAGTAAGGAAAGAGCTTCAGTTTAAATGGAAACCTTAGAATACATCAACAGACTCACACAGGGGAGAAACCATTTAAATGCATGGAGTGTGGAAAGAGCTTCAGTCATAGTGGACACCTCAATATACATCAACGGACTCACACTGGGATAAACCATTTAAATGCATGGAGTGCGGAAAGAGCTTCAGTCAGAATGGAAACCTCAATATACATCAACGGACTCACACAGGGGAAAAGCCATTTGAATGCCTGGAGTGCGGAAAATGCTTCAGTCAGAATGGAGACCTTAAATTACACAAGCGGATTCACACAGGGGAGAAACCATATAAATGTATGGAGTGTGGAAAGAGCTTCAGTAAGAGTGGACACCTCAATATGCATCAACAGACTCACACAGGGGAGAAACCATATAAATGCATGGAGTGCGGAAAGAGCTTCAGGCAGAATGGACACCTTAGAAAACATCAGCAGACACACGGGAGAAACTGTTTAAATGTATGGACTGTGGAAGGAGCTGCACTCAGAGCAGAACCCTTGATTTCTGTCAACGGACTCACACAAAAGAAAAACCTTATAAATATCAGGCAAGTAGATACAGGTTCAGTCCTAGTGGAAGTTCTAAATCAACAGACTCATGCACAGGAAGAACCTTAGGAGTTGAAACCCTACAAACCATCAACAAACTCTAAGAGGAGAAGCAGTGTAAATGAAAAGATTGCAAAAAGTGCTTTATTTACAATGGAGTGTTTAAGGAACATCCAGGGACTTTCACATGGGAGAACCCATTTAGATGTATGGAGAATGGGACATTTCCTTTCAGTGTCCACTCTTTCTTCACAGCACTGAAATTTTGAAGGCAATGTCAAACAATGTGAGTATAATCTAACAGGTAAAGTACCTTTTGAGAGATAGGATGAATCTGGTTTGCTGGTGGTGAGTGAGGATTAGGGCTGGGTGATATATTGATATCTTGTCCAATACCAGTTTCTAGACCACATCGTGATAACATTTGAAGAACTACTGATATGGCAATACACCGTGAATCACAGTGTGTATTTCTGGGATGTGCCTGCAAGCAGCAGCAGAAAGCTTTGCTTCGTGACGTCCCTGCAGATGCTGAGTTGCTGACTTTCCTCCCAGGCAACAGAAAGCGAAACACACACCTCCATTGCCCAGTGTCGTTCCAGCCTCTTTCCTCCCTTGCTCCCTTCTGCTGGTGTGTGTGCCTGACTTAGACATCCTGTGTGCTGTATGATTTTACTGCTGGAACTGGATTTGCTCTCAGGAGCTAAGTTTTGTGCCTCACTGGGGACCCAGTGAGAACTGTATGCTTTGAAAGCTCAGTAAACTATTACTGAAGAAGTCCTGCTGCCTCTGTGTGTGTTTTTGACCTTAGCATGGGAATTGCTCTACACGTGGCCCCTACCCTGCTGCTACGTGTCTCATGCCCTGGAGTTGGTCTACTCAAGCATGCAAGATGGCATGTACCAAACTCTGTCACCCCACCACTGCATGATTTCAAAACACTACTTATTCAACAGAACTTCATCCCTGCTCCCTGCACATTCTGAAAAAAACTTGAAATACTGAAATTGAATGGGAGATTTCCCCCCAAGCCTATTTGTAGGATGGGGAAGGCGGGGCTGCAGGTACCAGGGAAGTCTCCTGGGGGGCCCATCTTCAATCATGAACCACATAGGGGAACCCCAGAGCTCCTGCTTATTATGGGGTTTGGTGAAGATAGTACTTTTCCATATTCCCAGAAGTTATTATTCAATCCTGCTGCTAGAGAGTATTCCTACCAGAGTGCATATTACTATCATACTGATTTTACTGCTATGGTTGCTTTTGCTGTCATGGACTGGCTGGGTGTGGGGAGGGGGAGGCACCAGCTGGGGAACCCCCAAGGGAAGAAGGCTCAGAGCCTGGGGACTGGTGGTGGGATGGCAATGAGCAGAAAGAGGGAGAAAATGGAGCAGAACGGGAGGGAAGGTGTTGCAAGCTGGAGGAAACAGGGTTTGGTGAGCAGGAAGAGGCTGGGGCAGAGAGCAGTTCAGGAGAGGAGGGGCCAGGAGACCCAAAGGAGGCCGGCTGCTGAAGCATCCACGGAGACCCCCCCTCCCGCTGCGACCAGCTCCCCTCTCCCCCACACAGAGAAACCCAGTTCAGACCCCATGATCCTGCACATGATATTAAGAGGGTGTTTCCCTGCTCCCCAAAATTCATCGCTTTAATCTCCTTGACAATGAACTGTATTTTCAGCCCAATCACCCCGTTTGGAGAGCTCTTTTAGGTGCCCCTTGCAATCTCTCTTTGTTTGAACACTCCTGGACAATTTACTGCCACCAGCAAACTTTGCCCCCTCCCTGCTCACTCCTAACTCTAGATCATTTATGAACAAGTTGAAAAGCCACATGTCCCAATACTGATCTATAGGGGACTCCACTTTATGCTTCTCTCCATTCACAGGAGTGTTTATTAATATGTGTTCCTCCCTCCCCCCATCCTTCTGTGCTGCGGAGGGAAGCGTGCGGAAAAGTTCTGGGGTGAATTTCGCTTCCCTACACATCCAACACAGCTCAGCATTCAGGAAAATTGAAGAGGAAAGCTGGCCACAATCCAAGAGACTGAGGTCAGCAGAAAGCGAAGCAAAGCCTACTCAAAGGGAAGCCGCTCCAGCTTCCAGCCCATTTGCTCCCACAATGGCTGAAGAAGAATTGCCCTTAGGGAATGGCGGAGATGAATGGAAGCGGGCAAGGAAGCCCCACAAACGCTGCTGCTGGAGGAATAGGGGCACTGACCCCAATACTCAAAGGTGATGACCTGGTCCTTTAGGGGCACTGTTACGCCATCAGGAACCGGGAGTCCCCCACACCTGCCTCCCTTGTCTGGATTCAACCTCAATCTCTTAGCTGCCATCCATCCTCCAACCACCTCCAGAAAGGCACACAGGGAATTCACTGCCTTCACTGGTTCCAGTTTAAAAGAGAGGAAGAGATGGGAGGAGCCTCCCCATTGTCTTTTCCTTCACAAATCCTGTCTTAAGGGCACATTTAAGATATGAATAGGGTGTAAGGCTGTGACCTGGCACAGGAACTAAATATTCCTCATTACAAAAGACTGGCCAGGCTCCCCAGGCAATCCAATCAAGTGACCATTAACAGGTAACCTGGCAGACAGGAGGTAAACAAACCACTCAGATTTCTGCTGTAAACCACCCTTTCTGTAATGTAGGTATGATGTATGGGGGGGGAGTCTGGGGTTACACCCCTTCTGTGATGTGTGTATGATGTATGGAGGGATAGTCTTGAGCTCCAGGGCAGGGAATTTAAAATGTCTATATAAGGCCTTGTGTGCCATTGTTCTGGGTTCCTCCTCCCTCCTGCGTGTGGTGAGTGAGGACCCTGTTGCAACAGATCAATAAAGATCAGGCTTACTAGCTGTTTTGTTTTAAACGCTTTAAACGCATTAGGATTCAATCCACCATCCCGATGGATTTCTGCCTGGGGCATGTGCTGTCCTTGATCGCGTCCTGCCTCCTAAGGGATTATGGCTTATGAATTGGATCCCCCAATTTCAGAGGAGTCATTAGGCGTTGGATCCCAGGAAATCCGTCAAACCATTGACTTGGCGATTATTTGACGTTTCTACAGTTTTCTATACAGTATTGGATAGTCAGAGGAAACTGTCCGGTTCATGGTATCCGCTTCTTCTTCTCCCTGAACCCCTCCTCTTTGTGATGTGTCAATGATGTAGTCATGATGTAGTCTTGGGGGTGTAGCATGGGGGATTAGCAGCTAATAAAAGTTGGGGTCTTCTTTTGTTGGGGGCTTCCGTCTTGTTCCACCTGGTGGCAGGTGGGAGTCCTGTGGCGACAGTCTTCCATCAAGACCAAGCCAACTGGCTGGTCTTTTGCTCTGCTCTTCCTGGCTGGTCTCCTTGTTTCTTGTCCAAGGGATCCCTCAGATTTCTCCGTTAATACATGGAATCCGCTTCTGGCTCCAATTGTATCGGCTGCTTCTCTGAGCCTCTTTGCTGATGTGCTTGGAAGGTGCCTGTGTCAATGGTCACTGTCCCGGCCTTAGTCAGAGGCTGTGGTGGGGTCTTGGGGTTTTGGGGGAGTCGTATAACTGTCCCCCTTCCTGGTTTGAAGAGCACCAATACCTAAAGCACGGACGCACGGCTCGTGGCGTGGGGTGGGCGAGGGAAGGATTTTGCAAAGTAACATTGGGGGGAAACCCCACTTAGTAATTGGATTGCCAGGATCAGCCCCTCCCCCGCTCTCCTGATCTACAGGAGGAAGAGGGGAGAGGAAAAACCTTCCTCCCCGCCCCCGCTCAATTCTTTCCCTCCCCTCCCGGCACATCCTTCCCTCACCCCGCCCCCAAAATCCGAAATCCCCTCCCCAATATGTTGCTCCTTCTCCTCGCCACCCGCCTTTTGTTCCGGGAAGAAGGGAGGGATGAGCCCCTCTCCCAAACTGCCTGCTTCTCCCGACAGTGGAGCTTCCACTCCGGATTGCTGCTCTGCGCCATAGCTCTAGGGGCGCGCGCTTTCGGAAAGGGGAGGAGGGGCGGCAGGGGAGGATACCTCCCCCCCCCCCCGTGGATGTTGCAGGAAAGGAAAGGAGATTCGCGAGCGAGGACAAAGAGGTAAAGGGGCCGCGGGGGGAGGGGAGAGAAGGATCCAGAGACCCTCTTGAGCTCCCCAAAGCGCCTTTCCTGAGCCCCACGGGCAGGGCCTGGATCCCTGCACGCGTGCTGCGAAGGGGGCTTTCCCTGGCCCCTTAGGCGCCCTGGCGGGGGCGGTCATGGGGCGCCCACCCAGGGATTCCCCACGAGGACCCCCTTGCCCCGTTTCCCCCGCACAGGCATCCCTGGGGCCCTGTGGGCTCCGCATGGAAAAGGCAGGCCATGAAAGGGTTAACGGCGGCGAGGGACGCCTGGATAGAGACCCCCGTGTGGCTGGTGTTGGGGGGGCGTCCTCTGGATGGAGACGTGGGGCGCGCAGGTCGAGGGGTGAGCCCCGCCAAGGCGGCCTCTGGGTGCAGGGCGACTCAGGGAAAGAAGGAGGGGGTCGAGGAAGTCGCGGGGAGCATCCCTGGGGCGGGGAAGGGCAGCATTGGCGTGGGGGGGGGAAGAGAGAGAGAGAAAGGAAGACCAGTCTGTAGGGAGAGGTCTTCATCATGGCGGACGCGAGGATTCTCCGGAGGGGCCGCCTTGGCTTCTCCCTTCCACCTACGAATAGGCCACCCCTTCAAGGCGACCAGAGAGGGATCTGTCGAAAGTGGGGGGTCCACTCCCCCCACCCCTCCCTTCCTGCAAGCTCCATCCTCTTCCCACCCCATAAGCCCCTGCCCTGTCCAGACGCAGCGGTTCAAATCCCGAGAGGAAGAGGGGAGGGGAGAGCCCTTTTCAGAAGCCGTTCTCTGTTTCCACAATCCTACCCAGGAAGCAGCCAGAAACCTTTTCCTCTCTCTCAGGCTTCCATCTTTGTCTTTTCCACTGCCTGGTTCATTCAGGATGAGGATAATGTGCACCTGTCATCAGAAACAGGGGTGCAGAGTCCATGGAATGGCTCTCAGGATTGATCTAGAAGTTGCACCTCAAAAGCATTTCTGTTCCGCTTATTCTTTGTAGGCAATATCAGAGTGACTGACAAGCTGAGATTCTTCCTAAAGGACCCATTTTCATTATAGACAGTGTCTGTGGCTGGAGGCTCTACATACAAGGTGTGCCTACACAGGCCAAAGAGTGCCAGTATTAGCACAGGTGAGGTGTGTGACCTCCCCTAATTTACAGACTGTATGTGAATGAGAAGTTGTGGGTGGGATTACCGTTTATGGCATCCCTGTGATTCTCTCCACCCATGACATTTCGTGAGCTGATATTGCAGTACGAATTCAAAAATAACTACAAAAGAATAACAATATAATAAGAATGATTGTAGTATTTCTACGCTGCCTATCTGGCTGGGTTTCCCCCGCCACTCTGGGTAGCTTACAGTACATATAAAAGACAGTAAAACATCAAACATTAAAAACCTCCCAATACAGGGCTGCTTTCAGCTGTCTTATAAATGTCAGATAGTTGCCCATTTCCTTGCCCTCTGCCTGCTTCCCTGTAACTTCGCTTCTCACTGGGGGGGGGGTGAACCAGCAGAAGACCCTCGAAGGAGGACCTCAGCATACAGACTGAGCGATGGGGGTGGAGACGTTCCTTCAGGTCTACATACCCGAGGCTGTTTAGGGCCTTAGGTTGCAGATTTTGCTCCTCCGCAATGATCTCCAGAGCAAGTCCGACATACAATTAGCAGAGTAGGAAAAAACGCTCAGAGACAGCAAAAAATTCCTTCAGCAAATAAATTTGTGACTGAAGGCATAACAGGAATCTATGCCTGAAAAATGCAACCACGGCAATTTAATGGTCAGCACCAACATTGCGAATTGTGCTCAGAAATGTACTGGGAGTCAGTGAATATCCTTTCGGACTGGTGTTATGTTGTCTCAGCAGCTGCTCCCATTCTGTTCTCTACCAGTCACATTCTGGATTAGTTGCAGTTTCCGGGTCACCTTCAAAGGTAGCCCTGTCAGCATCACCCTTGAGCCAGTGCCACCGACTGGACTCATCCACTTCAGCCCCGACTGGGCCAGGCAAGCTGGGGTAGCACTTCCAGAGACCTTCTGCACAGGAACAGGTCAAAGTGTTGTGGACTCACAACTCAGAGTTGTGAGCACCAGATTCACTCCCGAAGACAGTCATTGCACAGCAGAGTACAGCAGAGCATAAACCACTCGGAGAACAGCTCTGTAGAATAACTACTTTTATTCTATCTACAACTATCATACAAACTATATAAAGAGCTAAATGGAGAAGCTAGACTGCACTGAGAGTCTGCAGCTGCTCTTAGCAGCAACCTTATCTATACAGAGATAACACACTCTCTCTCTAACACTCAGTCTCTCTCTCTTGTGAGGCTGGAGCGAAATAAGTGGAGAGCAGAAACCGCCCCCCTCCTCTCTGGAGAATCAGCAGAGAACATCAGCAGATTCTTGGAATGGGATGGGTGAAATCTCCTCAAGCCCCATGTATCACATGGCAGTAATCCAAGCGGGAGATCACCAGAGCATGCACCACTCTGGGTCTCCAGGCATGGAGGGTCTCAGCTGGCATACCAGATGGAACTGGTAGACAGCTGCCCTGGGCACAGAATTGACCTGTGCCTCCATGGACAGCTGTGAGTCCAAAATGACCCCCAGGTTGTGCACCTAGTCCTTTTGGGGCACAGTTACCCCCATCAGGTCTAGGGAGTCTCCCACACCTGCCTGTCCCCTGTCCCCCTGGGACAGTATTTCTTTCTTATCAAGATTCAACCTCAATCTGTTAGCCGCCATCTATCCTCCAAGTGCCTCCAGACACTTACACAGGACCTTCACTGGTTCCAATTTAAAAGAGAGGAAGAGCTGGGCATCATCCACATACTGGGGAACACCCAGCCCAAACCCCCTGATGATCTCTCCCAGCGTCTTCATATAGATATTAAAAAGCATGGGGAGAGGACGGAGCCCTGAGGCACCCCACAAGTGAGCTCCCAGGGGTCAGAACACTCATCCCCCAACACCAATTTCTGGACATGGCTCAGGAGGAAGGAGGGAAACCACTGCATAGCAGGGCCCCCAGCTCCCCTAGAGGGTCTAGAAGGATACCATGGTCAAAGGTCTCCAAAGCCGCTGAGAGATCCAGCAGAACCAGGAAAGAGCTTTCCCCTTGGTCTCTAGCCCATTGGAGATCATCAAGCAGCGCAACCAGGACAGTTTCAGGCCTGAATCCCAATTGGAAGGATAATGGTGGCAGAAGCTTTCCTGGTCCTGCACCTCCAAAAGCTCAAGGCCCAAGACTTTCATTCGCTTTCAAGAGGCCATTGGATTTGTGGTCTTTTCTTCAAAAGACAAATATCCCCATGCTTTTTAATATCTATATGAAGACAAATATTTTGAATACCTTTACAGTGACGTATGATGTAAATAGTGCTTCTGTTTTCCAGAATTCCCCAGCCCACCAAGGATTTGAGACCCATCAGGTATCCTCACCTGGTTTAGAATAGAATAGAATAGATTCTTTATTGTCATTACACAAGTGCAACATTGCACAAAGTGCAACGAAATTGGATGCCATCCCTTAAAACAACAAAAGCAAAACAACAACAACAACCAAACAAACCACATTCCAGCCACACCCACACCACACCCATCAAACTCCCAGGTCACACTATCGAGTTACAGCATTCAAAAAGGCCACAGCTCTTGGATAGAAACTGTTTTTCAGTCTATTTGTCTTTGACTTGATGTTTCTATATCTCCTGCCAGAAGGCAGTAGTGCAAACAGACCGTGTCCCGGGTGAGATGAATCCTGCAGGATGTTATTTGCTTTCCTAAGACAACGGGAACCGTACAGTTCTTCCAAAGATGGGAGAGGATGACCAATAATCCTTTGGGCTGTGGTTATGACCTTCTGGAGCACCTTCCTCTCCCTAGCTGTACAACTGGAGAACCAAGCACAAATACAGTATGTAAGAATGCCGGCCGGTTGAAGCCGTTCCTGGGATTGTGGCCCATTTTGAATGCTGACAGCTTCTCTCAGGTGAGAGCTGAGTGCAGGGTGGGGACCAATGGTGGAAAAATTACTCCAGAAGGTGGACTACATTTCCTACACCAAAAGTACTACCGCTCCCCTAACACCCCAAGACATCCTATAATTATGATATTTAAGACAGATCAGGAATAAATCATATCACAAGAAATAACACAACTTCAGGCACCACATCAAGGTTGATGTTTCCACTAAGTAAGTGGTGCCTCGCAAGACGCAAAGAATCCGTTCCGCGATTCTCTTCGTCTAGCGGTTTTTTCGTCTTGCGAAGCAACCCCATTAGCAGATTAGCGCTATTAACGGTTTAGCGGCTTAGTGGCTATTAATGGCTTAGCGGCTTAGAAAAAGGGGGGAAGCGGGGGGGAAATGGCAAGACTCGCAAGACATTTTCATCTTGCGAAGCAAGCCCATAGGGAAATTCGCCTTGCGAAGCAATTCAAAAATGGAAAACCCTTTCGTTTAGCGGGTTTTCCAACTTGCGAGGCATTCGTCTTGCGGGGCACCACTGTACACTTATCTCCTCGCCTTGAATATCCTGCTTTTCAGTGCCAGATTATGATAGTCCTCTGTCATAAGGCAAGCACAGGATCAGGCAGCACATCATCATTATAAAGAACCATTGGGGTGGGTGTTTCCGCCTGGGATTCCCATGTGCCATCTGCTTCTCCTGCTCTCTCCATGCAATGCAAGGCATGTAGACAGAGGTCCATCTCCAAGAACAGGAGCTTCCCTGAGCACCCATTCAGCTGACCCCAAGCACCAAGCCTTGTCACTAGTTCTCTGACTGACCCAGGGCAGATGGGGCTGGTCAACCTGGAGGCTTGTTATCAAGTCCCAGAGCTTCTCTGACATTGAATTATATGGTTCTCTGACTGACCCAGACCAAAGTCCCTGGAAAAGATGTAGACCTGGGCCTCCCAAAATGGTCCACATGGACTTCCTGAGGCCATTGGGACTGTGCAGGTGACTGCTGAAGATTTAGAGGTGAAAACGGGTGGTGGTGGATGGAGGATTATGACGCAGAGGATGGGAATTGTCCAAAGGAACAATGAACCAGAGAAAGAGAGGGCCATGTCATGGACAGAGAGCAGCTGCCTTTCCTGTGAGGAAACAATTGATTTGAGAAGGCTGCATTCCAAGATCATGCTGCTTCATTAATGATGATTGAGGATTATGAAAGTTTGCTGCTACATTACTATCACTTGACATCATTGCATCTTTATTTCCTCAAAACTGGGAACATGGGTAGGAGGCAGGGGAATGTAGGAGATGTTGAAATAAGAAAAGCTGCTAATGGCATTTGATGTGCTCTCTTTCCATTTGTTCTCTTCCTTGAAACTCAAACAGGATTTCCTTCCTCCCACTCTGAAGAAGGAGATGGAGAAGACAGTCAGAAGTCCAGGAGATGGGACACCTTTCGTTTCATTAGAAAGAGAAATTAAAATGTGTGAAATGTGGATTATGCTTCATAGAATGAGCACACATAATTCACATCAATGACCTCCGACGGGAGAAAACCATTGAAAGGTAAGGACTGTAGAAAGAGTTTCACTGATATTGGAACAAACCTTAGAATCCATCAGCACATTAACGATGGGCAAGAAAGTATTCAAATGCATACAGTGTGGGAAGAACTTCAGTCAGAGTGATCCCTCAATACACATCAACGGATTCACACAGGAGAGAAACCATACACATGTATGGAGTGTGGGAAAGAGCTTTAGTCAGAGTGGACCCTGCATTTACATCGACCAGGAAGTGACTCACACAGGGGAGAATAACCATTAAATGTATGGAGTGGCGGAAAAGACTTCAGTCGGAGGGGGATACTTAACTTTACATCAACGGACTCATACCGGCGAGAAAACATTTAAATGCATGGAAATGTTGGAGAGGCTTAGTTTTAGTGGAAAGCTGTTAGAAAACATCAACAGATTCAACAGGGGAGAAACCATTTAAATGTATGGAGTGCGGAAAGAGCTTTAGTGATAATGCACACCCTTAGAAGACATCAACAGACTCATACAGGGGAGAAAGCATTTAAATGTATGGAGTGCGGAAAGAGCTTTAGTGAAAATGGAACCCTTAGAAAACATCAACAGACTCACAGAGGGGAGAAACCATTTAAATGCATTGAGTGTGGAAAGAGCTTCGGTTTCAATGCAGAACTTAGAACATCAACGGACTCACACGGCGAGAAACCATTTAAATGCATGGAGTGTGGAAAGAGCTTCAGTGATAATGGAACCCTTAAACACATCAGCGGACTCACACGGGTGAAACCATATAAATGTATGGAGTGCGGAAAGAGCTTCAGTCAGAGTGGACACTTAGAACATCTACAGACTCACACAGGGGAGAAACCATGTAATGTATGGAGTGCGGAAAGAGCTTTCGGTGATAATGTCAACTTAGAAGACTCAACAGACTCACACAGGGGAGAAACCATGTAAATGTATGGAGTGCGGAAAGAGCTTTCGTGATAATGGAACGCTTAGAACAAATCAATGGACTCACACAGGGGAAAAACCATTTAATTGCATGGAGTGCGGAAGGAATTCAGTCAGAGTGGACACCTCAGCGTGCATCAACTGACTCACACAGGAGAGAAACATATGAATGATTTGTTCTCAGGAGCTATATTTTGTGCCTCACTGTGGTCCCAGTCATAAATGTAGCCTTGAAAGCTCAGTAAACTATTACTGAAGAAGTCCTGCTGCCTGTGTGTGTCTTTTGACCTCAGTGTGGCACTTGCTCTACACGTGGCCCCTACCCTGCTGCTACTTAGCTCATGCCCTGGAGTTTCTGTACTAAAGCACACAAGATGGTTTTTGCACCCCCACCACTACAAACACTTCTTCTTCGACAGAACCTTATCTTGAAATACTGAAATTCAATGGGAGATTTCCCCCCAAAGCCTAAGTTCAAGAGGGGGAATATGGGGCTGCAGGTACCAGGGAAGTCTCCTGGTGGGCCCATCTTCACTCATGAACCCCATGGGTCAACCTGCTTATTCTGGGGTTTGAGGAGCAGTATAAATGAAAAGATTGCAAAAAGTGCTTTATTTACAATGGAGTGTTTAAGGAACCTCCAGGGACTTTCCCATGGAAGAACCCATTTAGATGTATGGAGTGCGGGATGTTTTCCTTTCAGTGTCCTCTCTTTCTTCACAGCAATGAACTCAGCAGGAAATCAGTCTTAAACACACAATGTGTATTTGAAGTTCTTGTGTTTATATGTAAAACTGAACAGCAATGAAATATTGAATGCAATGTCAAACAATGTGAGTATAATCTAAGAGGTAAAGAACCTTTTGATAGAGAGGATGAATCTGGTTTGCTGGTGGTGAGTGAGGATTAGGGCTGGGCGATATATTGATATCTGGTCCAATACTGGTTTCTAGACCACATCTCGATAACCTTTGAAGAACAGCTGATGTGGCAATACACTGTCAATCACAGTGTGTGTTTCTGGGAGCTGCTTTTCTTCGTGACGTCCCTGCAGATGCTGAGTTGCTGACTTCCCTCCAAGACTACAAGAAGCGAAAGGCACGCCTCCATTGCCCTGTGTCCTTCCAGCCTCTTTCCTCCTTGCTCCCTTCTGCCGGTGTGTGTGCCTGACTTAGATATCCTGTATGCTGTATAATTTTACCGCTGAAACTGGATTTGCTCTCAGGAGCTAAGTTTTGTGCCTCACTGGGGACCCAGTGAGAACTGTAGGCTTTGAAAGCTCAGTAAACTATTACTGAAGAAGTCCTGCTGCTTCTGTGTGTGTTTTTAACGTCAGTGTCGGACTTGCTCTACACGTGGCCCCTACCCCACCGATACTTGGCTAAGGCCCTGGAGTTACTGTACTCACGCATGAAAGATGGGTATTTTTGTGTCAGAGTGGTTTTTACACCAAACTCTGTCACCCCCACCACCGCATGATCTCCAAACATTTCTTATTCAACAGAACTTCTTCCCTGCCCCCTGCACGTTCTGAAGAAAACTTAAAATTTAATGGGAGATCCCCCCCCCCCAAGCCTAACTGCAAGAGGGGGAAGGATGGGTTGCAGGTACCAGGAAAGTCTCCTGGCGGGCCCATCTTCACTCATGAACCACTTAGGGGAACCCCAGCGCTACTGCTTATTCTGGGGTTTTGGGAGAATAATATTTTTCCATAGTCCCAGAGGTTATTAGTCAATCATGCTGCTACCAGAGGACCACAGCGCTTATTGCTATCCTACTGATTTAACTGTTGCTGCTGCTTTTGCTGTCATGGACTGGCTGTGTTCAGGGGGGGGGGACACACCAGTCTGGGGGACCCACAAGGGAAGAAGGCTCAGATCCTGGGGACTGGTGGTGGGATGGCGATCAGCAGATAGAGGAAGAAAATGGAGCAGAATGGGAGGGGAGGTGTTGCCAGCTGAGGAGGAAACAGGGTTTGGTGAGCA